TCAGATCAAACAGACTATACCCGGTAGACTCCTGCTCAGTTTCCCTTATTGAAAACATCAACAAAGGTAGTAATTCATCCCAGTCTGTAGGAAAATGCATACAAAAAGTTCTCATCATGGTTTTTAATGTCTGATGGAATCTTTCCAAGGCGCCTTGGGACTGAGGATGATAGGCAGTGGATAAGTTGTGGATTATCCCTAACCTAGTTAATGCTTCCCTAAATGCTTTGGCAGTGAAGTTAGTACCTTGATCACTTTGAATAGATTTAGGAATGCCAAAACAAGAAATCTGGTTAATGCTTTGAGAATGGCTTTAGTATTAATACTGAGCATGGGATTCGCTTCTGGGTATCTAGTTACTCTATCCATAATGGTAAATAAGTACTGATTTCCAGACTTCGACTTAGGTAGTGGCCCTACACAATCTCTAATTAATTCTGCAAAAGGTTCTCCATCAACGGGTATAGGCTCGAGAGGTGCAGGTTTAATGGAATGTCCAGGTTTCCCCACTTGCTGACATTCTCGGCAACATAGGATATGATTCTTCACATCCTGCCTTAATTTTGGCCAATGGAATTCTTTTATGATTCTGTATAATGTTTTAGTAATTTCTAGGGGACCTCCTAATGAAGCATTATGAGCTACATTCAATATTTGAGGTCTAAACTTTGTTGGAACCACTAACCTGTTTGACAGTTGCCTGCCCTCTATCTCCTTACCAGTCTCAGTGCAGATCAAATAGTCGTTTTTAAGTTTATACTTGACCGGATGATCCAAAAGCGAAATTCAAAGAAGGATCCTTTTGTTGTTCCTCCCGGAAGGACAGTCCCTTGGGCATGGAAACAGATATATCTGGCAATCCTGCAACCTTGGAATAGGAAGGTTTGATCTGGGTCTGTTGACTTAATTTATGAGGCTTTGGCCAGTTTTCCTAGTAAAACAAATTGGCTATTCCGAGATCAGAGTCGTCCAAGGATAGGTCAGCATTCTCGGCAGACAACCTTTGGGATGTTGCCCGAGTTATGGCCAACACCAGAGAAGAATTAATCATTATGGGTTCAGGACATACACTCGCTGTGGTAATGTTATTACCCAGTAATAACATGGCATCTTTCATAGGAAATCCCTCGGATACACCCACAGTCAAGTTATTATTTTATTTATTTTATTATCACACCGGCCGATTCCCACCAAGGCAGGGTGGCCCGAAAAAGAAAAACTTTCACCATCATTCACTCCATCACTGTCTTGCCAGAAGGGTGCTTTACACTACAGTTTTTAAACTGCAACATTAACACCCCTCCTTCAGAGTGCAGGCACTGTACTTCCCATCTCCAGGACTCAAGTCCGGCCTGCCGGTTTCCCTGAATCCCTTCATAAATGTTACTTTGCTCACACTCCAACAGCACGTCAAGTATTAAAAACCATTTGTCTCCATTCACTCCTATCAAACACGCTCACGCATGCCTGCTGGAAGTCCAAGCCCCTCGCACACAAAACCTCCTTTACCCCCTCCCTCCAACCCTTCCTAGGCCGACCCCTACCCCGCCTTCCTTCCACTACAGACTGATACACTCTTGAAGTCATTCTGTTTCGCTCCATTCTCTCTACATGTCCGAACCACCTCAACAACCCTTCCTCAGCCCTCTGGACAACAGTTTTGGTAATCCCGCACCTCCTCCTAACTTCCAAACTACGAATTCTCTGCATTATATTCAAAACCACACATTGCCCTCAGACATGACATCTCCACTGCCTCCAGCCTTCTCCTCGCTGCAACATTCATCACCCACGCTTCACACCCATATAAGAGCGTTGGTAAAACTATACTCTCATACATTCCCCTCTTTGCCTCCAAGGACAAAGTTCTTTGTCTCCACAGACTCCTAAGTGCACCACTCACTCTTTTTCCCTCATCAATTCTATGATTCACCTCATCTTTCATAGACCCATCCGCTGACACGTCCACCTCCCAAATAGCTGAATACGTTTCACCTCCTCCATACTCTCTCCCTCCAACTGATATTCAATCTTTCATCACCTAATCTTTTGTTATCCCATAACCTTACTCTTTCCTGTATTCACCTTTAATTTTCTTCTTTTGCACACCCTACCAAATTCATCCACCAATCTCTGCAACTTCTCTTCAGAATCTCCCAAGAGCACAGTGTCATCAGCAAAGAGCAGCTGTGACAACTCCCACTTTGTGTGTGATTCTTTATCTTTTAACTCCACGCCTCTTGACAAGACCCTCGCATTTACTTCTCTTACAACCCCATCTATAAATATATTAAACAACCACGGTGACATCACACATCCTTGTCTATTTGCACTGTACATAAATTCTGTGCAAGGGGACATAAAGATTGGTCCTCTGAATGCTTCTAGCAAAATGGAGGATTGTAGAGAAGTGTGTTCAGAAAGGGGAAGTACTCCCTCTCTTATAAGTGAGCAATATGCTCCAGTATCTCTAAAGGTTCTGACTTCAGTTGTTTTTGGGTCTTCCTGAAGGGAAATACGACTATGACAGTAATAAGGAGCCATCCCTTTCTCTACTTCTTTCTGGGACATGTTACTAGGGACACTATAGATTTTCCCTAATGGTTGGGGTTTATGGGGGCAGTTGGGACGGATGTGACCTACTTGGTTGCAGAGAAAGCAGACGACAGGCTTGACCTTAGCTCCCGGCTGACGTTGCAACTGGTGTCGCTCTGACTGGTGTCACTCTGGATACTGTTGTCGAGTTGCACCATGTTGAATGGTTTGTCGCTCACCAGGTTGACCTTAAGTTGAGTAGCGTGGTTCACCAGGTGACTTAGTTGGCTGACGTAGACGTTCTCCTTCTGGCTGGCACTTTATCCTCCAATGTTGACGATCTCTGCTCATACCAGGCTGTTGAAAAGAGAGATGGAATCGCTCGGACAAGGAGCGGTTGGTTTCAAAGGTATCAGCCAACCTGGGTGCCTCCAATGCAGTGGTTAAGACATGATCCTGCAGAAAGACTCTAACCTCTGGTCCTACAGACTCCAGCAGGCTGTCGACTAGGACAAGCTGCATGAGATCATAAAAGGTGGCGACACCACTTGCTTTATACCAGCTGGTAAAAGCTTTGGTCTGCTGTCGCACGAAATTCACCAGGGATTGACCAAGCTGTCATCTGCCTAACTTGAATGACTTCCTATACTTAGCTGGGATGCATTGATATGCTCCCAGAACTGTGGTCTTCACCACTTTATAATGGGAAAAATCAGTGTCATTTAACTCTGACGTAAATTTCTATGCCTTACCAAACAACGCTGTGTGAACCAATGATGCCCAATGCTGTTTATGCCACCTCAAGGCTCGAGCCTGATTTTCGAAAGTTTCAAAAAATTGTTCTGGTTCTGCCTCATTGAGGTGGGGAACAAGCGGTACTGCTTTCTTTAAACTAAAGTCATTTACAACTTGAGAAAACTGCCTTCTTTCTTTTTCCCTATCAAACTCTTCCTTGGCATATGCCCTCTGTTCCCTAGTTTGCTCAAGATTGATTTTCACCAACTCAAATGCCAATGCAGCTGATCCGCCTTCAGACAATCCTTTTGCATGAAACTGACGATTTTGCTCAGTTGATGAATCATTTTCCTCCTGTGAGAACATCGGAGTTTTATTCCTGGTTCCTGTAGGGGGAGGAGTTTGATGTGCCGTCTCCTCTTCTCGAAGATTGATACTTATAAGAGTACAAAGCTGCGCAGCTGTGAGAGTGCGTTCGTAATCAATGCCAATGGAACGAGCAATTTGCCAACAGCACTGTAGGGAAAATTTAGACAAGTTTAATAAAGTGTATTCAGACACCAGACGTCTGACTCGTCTAGGTGGCATACCCCAACGTAACACGCTATTTGCAATACACGCTTAGCTATGCACAGTACAACTGCAGAATACTCGTGCCCACACGTAACACGTTATTTGCAGTACACGCTTAGCTATGCACAGCACGACTGCAAGGCTGATACACAATAGCAAAGCTGACTGCAAAATCTTCACACAACAGTAGGATTGACTGCAGCAAAGCGAGCACAACGAACAAGCTAGTAGCGAGCTATCAATGACCATACAATAGCAGGCTGACCATAAAACACAAGGCTGACACGCAAAATTTCGTAAAGCATTGGCAAAGCTAATGCAATGCCAGCTACACAATGTTCCTGCTTCCAGTGTCACTCTAGGCTCAACTCGTGCTCTAGGTCCAGCTCCAGCTCCCAGACAGTCTCCCATATTACAACCCAGGAATCCAAAGGCCTGTTATCCTGGGTGTAAAGAGAGCAAAATAAACACAGCAGAAAAACGTTTGTTTTATATTATCCTTCAAGTAAGAACAGGAGTATGTGCACTATATACACTATATACAACAATAGGTATTAGTGCATTCCACAGTAAGCAAGGCAGAATAGAAGCCACTAGAGAGCAGACCGTGCTTCAACCAGCTCTAGAATGGGAATGATAAGGGCAGACAGGCGGGTGGTACCCACAACACCTCTGCGATTGCCAAAATCATCTCATTGGCTTGAACCTGGGTACTGATCGAACGACGGGGCCCCATCGTTTGACCCTAGTACAGTACTGGTTCACTGGTTGGGGGAGATAGCCTTTCAATGAGGGTGTGTACATGCGCCGAATAAAGGTTACGTACTCTTTGCATGCCACAACAGTACACTACTGTATAAACATTTAAAATGTACTAAAAATAAATGGTGCAAAGGTGACATTGCAGTAATATCAAAGATGGTTGACACAAACCCAGTACCATTAATGTATGCTCCTTGCTTAATGACAAATTCGTTTACTGATGTGGTCTTAGGAGCGGAACTCCATTGTTAAGTGAGGAGAGGTTGAATTTCCTTTGAGTCACCCTGCCTTGGTGGGCGATGATGCGTGCTAGAAAGAATTTTGTTTCTGCATTTAATATGACATATACAGTGTTACTAGGAGTGTTAGAAATTAATATCACATATGTTTTCCAGGAAAGTACCAGCGAAGTGATCTTAACATGCCTGAAACACTTCCTCAACGGAAAGGAGCACCTCATAGTTTTTATAAAGATAGCCCGCTTACAAACATTGGTTTATTTCAAGCAACACTTGTAGGTCAAGCTCTGAAGGCCAATAATACAGAGGTGCATCATGTTTTATGCTCCCCAGCTTTACGCTGTGTTCAGACTTGTGCCAGCATACTTAAGAGTAAGTTCAATAAATAATTAAATAGCTAATCAATATTGATGAAAGTAAACTGAAGATTACATAAATTTTTGCTGTTGGAGTGTGAGCAAAGTAACATTTATGAAGGGATTCAGGGAAACCGGCAGGCCGGACTTGAGTCCTGGAGATGGGAAGTACAGTGCCTGCACTCTGAAGGAGGGGTGTTAATGTTGCAGTTTAAAAACTGTTGTGTAAAGCACCCTTCTGGCAAGACAGTGATGGAGTGAATGATGGTGAAAGTTTTTCTTTTTCGGGCCACCCTGCCTTGGTGGGAATCGGCCAGTGTGATAATAATAAAAAAATAAAAAATGTTTAGTATGCACAATAATAGGTTTCTTGAATAATTTGAGTATCTTTTCAAGGGTTGGGGGGAGGGAGTATTCCTAGAAGTTAGGAAATGCTTTTTACCCAAGTAATTATAACCGTCCTCCCCCTTCTCAGATCAAACCTGATTAAGTTTCCCAGACACTGTATTAAAATATAGTAATGAAATTGCATAGAAGATTATAATATTTCTTTTTTTTTTACAGGTATGGGTATTGCTGAAGTTACGCCAATCAACATTGAACCTGGGATCTTTGAATTTCTTCAATGGTACAAAGATGAAATACCTACATGGATGACTCTGGATGAGCTAACAGATGCAGGCTTCAATATCAATCATAATTATGATCAAATAATCCATGAAGAGGAATTGAATACCAGTGAGAACTGCAAGGAGTTTTATCACAGAAATGCCAATGTTGCACAGAAGATTATCGAAAGAACACAGTTACAAGGTATCGTTGCTTTAATCCTTTCAGGGTTTTGGCCGTACTAGTACGGCCTAACGCCCCAGGGTTTTTGATGTACTAGTATGCATAAATTCTAGTGCCCTCAAATCTAGTGAGAGAAAGCTGGTAGGCCTACATATGAAAGAATGGGTCTATGTGGTCAGTGTGCACAGCATAAAAAAAATCCTGCAGCACACAATGCATAATGAGAAAAAAAACTTCGACAGTGTTTTTGGTTTAAAACAGTGACTTTGCACTGCATTTTCGTATGGTATTTATGATGGTGTTCTAGTTTTCCTGGTCTCATTTTATAGAATGGAAGACATATTACAGAAATTGAGATTATTTTGATTGGTTTTACAATGAAAAGTACCTTGAAATTGAGCTCAAAGTAGCAGAAATGTTCGATTTTTGCACATTGCCCACAGACACGATGTATGTCCACTGCCCCCAGCCTCCTTGCTGCAACATTCACCATTCATGCTTCACATCTATATAAGAGTGTTGGTACCACTATACTCCAATAAATTCCACATTTTGCCTCCATGAATAATGTCTTTTGTCACTACAGATGCCTTAATGCACCACTCGCCTTTTTTTCCCTCATCAATTCTATGGTTCGCTTTGTCTTTCATAAACCCATCTACTGACAAGTTCACTCCCAGATATCTGAACTCATTCACTTCCTCCATACTTGCTACCTCCAATCTGATATTCAATCTTTCATTACCTAAATTTTTTGTTATCTTCATCACCCTGCTCTTTCCCAACCTTTCCTCAACACCCCTGCATTTACTTCTCTTACAACCCCACTTATAAATACTCTAACCTTTTGAGGGTCCAGACCCCCAATCTGAAATTTATTCTCAGAATACCAAAAAATTCCCCCCCCCCCCCCCAAAAAAAAAAAAATGAAACTTATGAAATGGTAGGATAATCTTTTTCTGAAGGTAATAACACCAAAAGTATGAACTTGGGCAGAATACTTACAGAATTAAACACTTGCAAATTTAGTGGTCTCAGCGATATTTATGCACTGGCGATTTTGCCTACTTTGAGTCCTATTTTACGCCAATTCCATTGTTCCAGTCAACCAGACTCTTAGCTGTTTTGCTTAGTATGCCTTCCACCATATCAGTTGAGCACAAGAGACTGCCCATTTCACTATTCCAACTACCCAGTAAAGCAATCAGAAATCATTAATTTGGCCAATTTCACACAAAATTAAATAAATGTCAATTTAAAAGTAGAGTCCAGAATGGACAACATAGGCATTTCTGGCACAAAAACATTTCCTCTGTTAGTCACATCCTCAGGCCTCTCCTATATTACACTTGCTGTCTGTTTTGAGTTTTTATTCACTCAAAAAAATGGAAAATTTACTGTTATGAAGGTTACTGCATTATTGTTAATTTTTTTATAAATAATATGTCAGCAAGAGAATATGAATGTGTAAATTCAAGAATTATGTGGATTAAAGTGAAGGTTGGATGCGAGAAGTGGGTCATAATAAGCGTGTATGCACCTGGAGAAGAGAGGAATGCAGAGGAGAGAGAGAGATTTTGGGAGATGTTAAGTGAATGTATAGGAGCCTTTGAACCAAGTGAGAGAGTAATTGTGGTAGGGGACCGAATGCTAAAGTAGGAGAAACTTTAGAGAGGGTGTGGTAGGTAAGTTTGGGGTGCCAGGTGTAAATGATAATGGGAGCCCTTTGATTGAACTTTGTATAGAAAGGGTTTAGTTATAGGTAATACATATTTTAAGAAAAAGAGGATAAATAAGTATACAAGATATGATGTAGGGCGAAATGACAGTAGTTTGTTGGATTATGTATTGGTAGATAAAAGACTGTTGAGTAGACTTCAGGATGTACATGTTTATAGAGGGGCCACAGATATATCAGATCACTTTCTAGTTGTAGCTACACTGAGAGTTAAAAGGTAATGGGATACAAGGAGAATAGAAGCATCAGGGAAGAAGAGAGGTGAAGGTTTATAAACTAAAAGAGAGGCAGTTAGGGTAAGATATAAACAGCTATTGGAGGATAGATGGGCTAATGAGAGCATAGGCAATGGGGTCGAAGAGGTATGGGGTAGGATTAAAAATGTAGTGTTAGAGTGTTCAGCAGAAGTTTGTGGTTACAGGAAAGTGGGTGCAGGAGGGAAGAGGAGCGATTGGTGGAATGATGATGTAAAGAGAGTAGTAAGGGAGAAAAAGTTAGCATATGAGAAGTTTTTACAAAGTAGAAGTGATGCAAGGAGGGAAGAGTATATGGAGAAAAAGAGAGAGGTTAAGAGAGTGGTGAAGCAATGTAAAAAGAGAGCAAATGAGAGAGTGGGTGAGATGTTATCAACAAATTTTGTTGAAAATAAGAAAAAGTTTTGGAGTGAGATTAACAAGTTAAGAAAGCCTAGAGAACAAATGGATTTGTCAGTTAAAAATAGGAGAGGAGAGTTATTAAATGGAGAGTTAGAGGTATTGGGAAGATGGAGGGGAATATTTTTGAGGAATTGTTAAATGTTGATGAAGATAGGGAAGCTGTGATTTCGTGTATAGGGCAAGGAGGAATAACATCTTGTAGGAGTGAGGAAGAGCCAGTTGTGAGTGTGGGGGAAGTTCGTGAGGCAGTAGGTAAAATGAAAGGGGGTAAGGCAGCCGGGATTGATGGGATAAAGATAGAAATGTTAAAAGCAGGTGGGGATATAGTTTTGGAGTGGTTGGTGCAATTATTTAATAAATGTATGGAAGAGGGTAAGGTACCTAGGGATTGGCAGAGAGCATGCATAGTTCCTTTGTATAAAGGCAAAGGGGATAAAAGAGAGTGCAAAAATTATAGGGGGATAAGTCAGTTGAGTGTACCTGGTAAAGTGTATGGTAGAGTTATAATTGAAAGAATTAAGAGTAAGACAGAGAATAGGATAGCAGATGAACAAGGAGGCTTTAGGAAAGGTAGGGGGTGTGTGGACCAGGTGTTTACAGTGAAACATATAAGTGAACAGTATTTAGATAAGGCTAAAGAGGTCTTTGTGGCATTTATGGATTTGGAAAAGGCGTATGACAGGGTGGATAGGGGGGCAATGTGGCAGATGTTGCAAGTGTATGGTGTAGGAGGTAGGTTACTGAAAGCAGTGAAGAGTTTTTACGAGGATAGTGAGGCTCAAGTTAGAGTATGTAGGAAAGAGGGAAATTTTTTCCCAGTAAAAGTAGGCCTTAGACAAGGATGTGTGATGTCACCATGGTTGTTTAATATATTTATAGATGGGGTTGTAAGAGAAGTAAATGCGAGGGTCTTGGCAAGAGGCGTGGAGTTAAAAGATAAAGAATCACACACAAAGTGGAGTTGTCACAGCTGCTCTTTGCTGATGACACTGTGCTCTGGGAGATTCTGAAGAGAAGTTGCAGAGATTGGTGGATGAATTTGGTAGGGTGTGCAAAAGAAGAAAATTAAAGGTGAATACAGGAAAGAGTAAGGTTATGAGGATAACAAAAAGATTAGGTGATGAAAGATTGAATATCAGATTGGAGGGAGAGGAGTATGGAGGAGGTGAACGTATTCAGATATTTGGGAGTGGACGTGTCAGCGGATGGGTCTATGAAAGATGAGGTGAATCATAGAATTGATGAGGGAAAAAGAGTGAGTGGTGCACTTAGGAGTCTGTGGAGACAAAGAATTTTGTCCTTGGAGGCAAAGAGGGGAATGTATGAGAGTATAGTTTTACCAACGCTCTTATATGGGTGTGAAGCGTGGGTGATGAATGTTGCAGCGAGGAGAAGGCTGGAGGCAGTGGAGATGTCATGTCTGAGGGCAATGTGTGGTGTAAATATAATGCAGAGAATTCGTAGTTTGGAAGTTAGGAGGAGGTGCGGGATTACCAAAACTGTTGTCCAGAGGGCTGAGGAAGGGTTGTTGAGGTGGTTCGGACATGTAGAGAGAATGGAGCGAAACAGAATGACTTCAAGAGTGTATCAGTCTGTAGTCGAAGGAAGGCGGGGTAGGGTCGGCCTAGGAAAGGTTGGAGGGAGGGGGTAAAGGAGGTTTTGTGTGCGAGGGGCTTGGACTTCCAGCAGGCATGCATGAGAGTGTTTGATAGGAGTGAATGGAGACAAATGGTTTTTAATACTTGACGTGCTGTTGGAGTGTGAGCAAAGTAACATTTATGAAGGGATTCAGGGAAACCGGCAGGCCGGACTTGAGTCCTGGAGATGGGAAGTACAGTGCCTGCACTCTGAAGGAGGGGTGTTAATGTTGCAGTTTAAAAACTGTAGTGTAAAGCACCCTTCTGGCAAGACAGTGATGGAGTGAATGATGGTGAAAGTTTTTCTTTTTCAGGCCACCCTGCCTTGGTGGGAATCGGCCAGTGTGATAATAAAAAAAAAAAAAAAAAACATTCATATGCTGACATTATGTGTGCAGGTGAGTTGGGCTCATATTAGATGAGTGACATGATTAATATCTTTTGGAATAATGACAAAAATTGAATATTTCTGCTACCTTGAGCTCATTTTCAAGCTGCTCATAGTCTTGAAACCAGTCAGAATCATCTCTATTTCCATTCTTTCGACTGATACCAAGAAACTGAGAATAAAACAAAAAAAAAAACAAAAATCCATACATACACCACAAAAATCACTATTTTAAAATATTCGCACACTGTATGGGTATTCACACAGTGTATAGGTATAGGAAAGAGTAAGGTGATGATAAAAAAAAATTACTAATGAAAGATTGGATATCAGATTGAGGGAGAGAGTATGGAGGAGGTGAATGTTTTCAGATATTTGAGAGTGGACATGTCAGCAGATGGGTCTAAGAATGATGATGTGAATCAAAGAATTGACTAGGGGAACAAGGTGAATGGTGCACTGATGAGTCTGTGGAGACAAAGAACTTTATCCATGGAAGCAAAGAGGGAAATTTATGAGAGTATAGTTATACCAACGCTCTTATATGGGTGTGAAGCATGGGTGGTGATGTGTTTGAGGGCAATATGTGGTGTGAATATAAT